GGGTGTGAGGGATGAGGTGCGGGAGATGTGGGAGACACGGTTGAGGGCGTTCTCGACCACCGAGGAGGGGAAGTTACGGTCCTTGAAAAACGAGGACAACTGAGATGTACGGGAGTGGAATGCCTCATCCTGGGAGCAGATGCGGCGGAGGCGAAGGAATTGGGAATAGGGGATAGCATTTTTGCAGGAAGGTGGGTGGGAGGAGGAGTATTCTAGGTAGCTGTGGGAGTCGGTGGGCTTGAAATGAATATCGGTTTCTAGGTGGTTGCCCGATATGGAGACAGAGAGGTCCAGGAAGGGGAGAGAGGTGTTAGAGATGGTCCAGGTAAACTTAAGGTTGGGGTGGAAGGTGTTAGTGAAGTGTATGAACTGTTCGAGCTCCTCATGGGAGCACGAGGCGGCGCCGATACAGTCATCAATGTAACGGAGGAAGAGGTGAGGTTTAGGGCCCGTGTAGGTACGGAAGAGGGATTGTTCCACGTAACCTACAAAGAGGCAGGCATAGCTTGGGCCCTTGCGGGTACCCATGGCTACCCCCTTTGTCTGTAGGAAGTGGGAGGAATTGAAAGAGAAGTTGTTGAGGGTGAGGACGAGTTCGGCTAAGCGGATGAGGGTATCAGTGGAGGGGGACTGGTCGGGCCTGCGGGACAGGAAGAAGCGGAGGGCCTTAAGGCCATCTGCATGGGGAATGCAGGTGTAGAGGGACTGGACGTCCATGGTAAAGATGAGGTGTTGGGGACCGGGGAATTGGAAGTTCTGGAGGAGGTGGAGGGCGTGGGTGGTGTCACGGACATAGGTAGGGAGTTCCTGGATTAAGGGGGAGAAAATGGAGTCTAGATAGTTGGAGATCAGTTCGGTGGGGCAGGAGCAGGCGGAGACAATGGGTCGACCAGGGCATTCAGGTTTGTGGATTTTGGGAAGGAGATAGAAGCGGGCAGTGCGAGGTTGGGGAACGATGAGGTTGGAGGCCGTGGGTGGGAGGTCACCTGAGGTGATGAGGTTGTGGATGGTTTGCGAGATGATGCTTTGGTGCTCAGGGGTGGGGTCATGATCAAGGGGGCGGTAGGAGGAGGTGTCGGAGAGTTGGCGTCCGGCCTCGGCGATGTAGAGGTCAGTGCGCCATACTACAACTGCGCCTCCCTTGTCCGCGGGTTTTATGGTGAGGTTGGGATTGGAGCGGAGGAAGCGGAGGGCTGCACGTTCTGCGGGGGAGAGGTTGGAGTGGGTGAGAGGGGTGGAGAGGTTGAGGCGATTGATGTCTCGACGGCAGTTGGAGATGAAGAGGTCGAGGGAGGGTAGGAGGCCTTGGGGTGGTGTCCAGGAGGAGGGGGTGTGTTGGAAGCGGGAGAAGGGGTCAGTAGAGGGAGGGTTAGGTTCACGGTTAAAGAAGTAAGCGTGGAGGCGGAGGCGGCGGAAAAACTGCTCTATGTCCAAGCGTGAGCAGTATTCGTTGATCTGTGGGTGGAGCGGGACAAAGGTGAGCCCTTTACTGAGGACTGACCGTTCGTCCTCAGTAAGGGGTAGGTCTGGGGGGATGGTGAAGACTCGGCAGGGCTGGGTGCTGCTGTCTCCTCTGGAGCTGCTGGCTGCGGAGGCTGTGGGCGGAGTTGCGTCGGCGTCGGCTGTGGGCGGAGTTGTGCCGGCGGTGGGCGGAGTTGTGCCGGCGTCGGCGGTGGGCGGAGTTGCGCCAGCGGTGGGTGGAGTTGCGTCCGCGTCGGTGATGGGCGGACCGGCGTCGGAGGTAGGAGGAGCGGGGTAGGTGGCGGCAGTAGCGGTGAGGGTGGTCGCGACTTCAGTGTCGGTGGCAATGGCAGCGATGGTGTTTGCTGTCCCGGAAGTGGGGAACCTGGCGGTGGCGGATGTGACGTCATCTGAGGGTTCTCCGATAGTGACCTTATGGCCAATGGCGGCGGACCCATTGTGGGGAAGGTCCTGGATATGGCTGGGGATTTGGGGGGCGGAGGAAGCCCGTTTTGGGTGGTAGGCACCAGTAAGTTTACTGTACTTACGGTTTTTAGTGTCCAATAAAGCTGAGTAGAATTGGGAGTTCAGGTTGTGGATCCTACGAAGAATAAAAAACAGGAGAGGTCCTTTGCAGGTCTGGGAGAGGGAGGCTCTGAGCTGGGGTAGGCTTGATTGTAGTGCCTGGAGATGCCGGCGCATTGCTGCAAGTGTGTGTTTCAGGAGTCGCAGGGAGAAACGCTTCTGAAGGATCTCAATACCATGAGTGTAGATATTATCACGGTTGGGGCCAAATTGGGAAGGCTTGAATGTGGATTGTAGTCCATTGGGGATGATCTGGTTCCGTAGGCAGGTGCTAAGGAAGGTGATGTGGCTGTAGTACCTGGTTTGCTTCAGGACGTGGTCGAGCAGTTTCAGGGCCGAAGAGATTACGAGAGAAATGCAGTGGGAGAGAGATCCCTTGAGGTTTGTCCGGAGGGAGGAGGGTAACTTCTTCAGGTTAGGCATCCTTAGAAGAGGCTTCGCAGTGGGGTTAAAATTGAATCAGAGATAGTAGGAACTGCAGATGCTGGAGAATCCGAGACAACAAGGTGCAGGGCTGGATGAACACAGCAGGCCAAGCAGCATCATAGGAGCAGAGAGGCTGACGTTTCGGGCCTAGACCCTTCATCAGAAAAGGGGGAGGGGAAGGGGGTTTTGAAATAAATAGGGAGAGAGTGGGAGGCGGATAGAAGAGGGATAGAGGAGAGGGTAGGTGGAGAGGAAACAAACAGGTTGAAGAGGCGGAGATGGAGCCAGTAAAGGTGAGTGTAGGTCAGTTGTCTTTTTTCACTTGGGAACAGGCACATAGCTCCTGCAATGGCAACTCAGCAGGGTTCACCGACCAAGCGAGGCTTTCTACCTCCTCCATCCTCTGAAATATTTGGGCCTTTAGTTACTGGAATAAAATTCACAAATTAATAATCTACGATTATCACTTTGTGACAATTTTGCACAAGTCAGTGGGAATTCCATTGGTTGGCCTGGGCTACTTCTGTCAAGTTTAGTCCCTGAAGAGAGGCTTAAGAGTTTTAAAGGTTTGGCTCACTTACCTGAACAACTTGGTGCAGAATCATTCCACTGTGCCAAGGCGTCAGGTACAGCTAGGCATTCTATATTCTTGGAACCTTGGAGGGCGTAACCTGGATTGCATTCGAAGCGGATAATGGCACCCACAGCAAAGTCATTTCCTATTCTTCTGCCATACCTTGGCTCAGGTATCGAGCTACACTGTGTGGCACTAGTCCGGGGGACCGCTGTAGGTTAATGAATGGAATAATGCAAATTCAATTCTCAATTTAATCACTGAACAGGCACAAAGTGAAGAACCAAGGTTCAAACCAGAAAATACAAGCAAGAAATGTTTCAAAGGAGATGACAGGCTATTCACATGTAATTGAGACACCTGAAAAGTGAACTTAATTAAAGTGGCATGCCTGCACATACACAGTTAAAAAGCAGAAGAATACAAGAGAAGAAATATCGCCAACATGTAGTTAAAATCATACTGTTCTCTATTTTGTTTATCCTTCTTGACGGAGCTTAGACTCAAGCCCATTCCTGGTTACAGTTTACTCCCTGTACCAGCTTTAAGTATTTCATATGAAGTAAGCTTTAGTCAGGTTAGATATAGTTTCCTGGTGAATGTTAATAATCCACTGTAGAAAACAGCACACAGTCCAATATGAATTAGCACAAACTGTCAACCACAATCTGGGAGCAAACTGTCAGTGAGGATGATCAAACAGTAAATGGGGGCAGCAAGAGGTACTGTTCAGAAGTTTAGAATCAGGGACAATTGATGGGACATAGTGACAATTTTCTCTGTTTGATTAAACTTTTATACCTGCCAAGAGGTTCTTCAAAATTCTTGGTTCTGAATTTTCAGAATATGCATTGTGGCTTTGAAGCAAACATGAATAGGAGTGATAAAGCTATTCAGAATTCCAGACTATCAAATCTCTAAAAAAAATCTAATTAAGAACAGAATGGTAAATGTTGAGGCCTCCTGTCTGGTCAAAAGCAGTGTTTGAAAATGAAAGCGAATTATCGACTGTCCTATTCTTGCTGTTGAGGCAGTGACTGCAGTAAACCTATCGCTATGACTGAGGTGTGCCCAAGACAGATAATATTAATAAAGTTAATTTTGATACTAAGGTACGTATCTGATTCCATTAGCATTATACAAAGGACTGGGCATAGCATTCTGTTTGTGTGCGTAGAAAAAGCAAAACATTCAGCATTGAAATACAGAAAAATACTGCAGACTACCACAAGTTTATATTTATCAGTCACCTCAGCCTCAAGACAGTCTCAAAGTTGACCAACGTGTCTATGGTCCCAAACTGGTGAGCTGCCTTTGTTGTATAAGTTAATGATTCTGAAGGGGTTAATGCTTATGCTATATTGACTCCACTCATTCTACTAATGTCATGCACAGTTTGTGGTTGGAGACAAGGAACTCTACTGTAGCTTCCAGAGTCAGATATTTCTGTACCAGCTCCCTAATGTTATAGTAATTATACCTGACCAAGTTTCATAGCGCTTATTGCTATCACAATTAAACCTCCTTGTCACCTAAGAACAGTTCTGTAGGTAATCTACAGCAGTGTATCCTCTACCACTGGTCACAAAGGAGAACTGGTGGTAGCAAACCACCTCAAATAACTCTTAACCTGTGCCACATTATGGGAGAGATGTCAAATATCAAAGTGTACCAGCAATAGTTACCTAGAAAAATACCATTGGTTTCAGGCGACCAGTTGGAGTTAGATAAATAAAAGCCTTCTTTTCAAGCTCAGCTGTAGCATAAAGGGTTAAGTTCTGAGGGAACACATGTGCGTAGGAAGAAACTATATTATTGGTGATGCTATGACCACATGTAGATCACACTCCAGAGAAAGAGTAACAGTTTGGATCTTGTGTTCAGTTGGAATGTGTATAGTTAGCATGATGTAAACAAACAATTGCTGTAAGACCCAAAAATCAAGTCATCGCTCTACCTTAAAGTAGCGTACCAAACACCATCTAAAACTCCACATGTCAACAACAGATTGCAGAAGGCTTTTTCAGTATTGGAAAGGGGTGCCTGACTGATGGACTCACCCACCGACAACTCAAAACCTACCCTGCAATTTATACCACCGCTCCTTCTCTTCTATTCTACCTATTCAATGCATTTTCTCTCACATTCTTCGTCCATTCATCAATGCCTCTAGGGTGTTGTCTGCCTGTTCAGAGATAGGGCTCACTTTGTTCAGAAAAAAAGCAGGCTCTGATCAACAAAAAAACAATTCCAGAAGTCAAATCTTTCACTAATCTGAGGCCACATCACAGATACAACCAGATGAACCTCATATCCAGTGTGTACCTGTCAAATAGTACCACCGTTTGACATGTTATTTTGACCCTTGACAAGCCAGTAATGATCGGATGAGAACATATCTACACACATTAATGGCTTTTGTTGGAACTGTTCTGATGTTACATCAAACCAGTTCCATGTCTGACAATAAGAGACAGCAAGGTATAGAGCTGGATGAACACAGCAGGCCAAGCAGCATCAGAGGAGCAGGAAGGCTGACGTTTCGGGTCTAGACCCTTCATCAGAAATGGGGGAGGGGAAGGGGGTTCTGAAATAAATAGGGAGAGAGGGGGAGGTGGATAGAAGATGGGTAGAGGAGAAGATAGGTGGAGAAGAAACAGACAGGTCAAAGAGGCGGGGGTGGAGCCAGTAAAGGTGAGTGTAGGTGGGGAGTTAGGGAGGGGATAGGTCAGTCCAGGGAGGACAGACAGGTCAAGGGGGTGGGATGAGGTTAGTAGGTAGGAGATGGGGGTGGGGCTTGAGGTGGGAGGAGGGGATAGGTGGGAGGAAGGACAGGTTAGGGAGGCGGGGACGAGCTGTGCTGGTTTTGGGATGCGGTGGGGGAGGGGAGATTTTGAAGCTTGTGAAGCCCCACCCCCATCTTCTACCAACTAACCTCATCCCGCCCCCTTGACCTGTCCATCCTCCCTGGACTGACCTATCCCCTCCCTACCTCCCCACCTACACTCACCTCTACTGGCTCCATCCCCGCCTCTTTGAACTGCCTGTCTCCTCTCCACCTATCCTCTCCTCTATCCATCTTCTATTCACCTCCCCCTCTCTCCCTATTTATTTCAGAACCCCCTTCCCCTCCCCCATTTCCGAAGAAGGGTCTAGGCCCGAAACGTCAGCCTTCCTGCTCCTCTGATGCTGCTTGGCCTGCTGTGTTCATCCAGCTCTACACCTTGTTATCTCAGATTCTCCAGCATCTGCAGTTCCTACTATCTCTACCCATGTCTGACAATGACAATGCTCACACAAAAATCAATACAGAACGCAGTGAATGCTAACAATCTGGAATAAAAGCAACAGTTCTGGTCACATTTGTAGTGAGAAACACTGTAAATGTTTCAGGGTGATAAAATTTCGTCAGAGATGGAAAAAGTAAGAAATATAAAAGGTGCTATGCGAATAATAATGACAGGGAACAAACTGTGGGGGAAAGAACAAATGGAAAGGTCTGTCGTAAAGTGGAACGCATGTACAAAAAAATGACAACAGGGATGATGGAACAAGGCGAAAGGAGATAGGAGTTTTAAAGAAACAATAGTTTGAATAGGGATTAAAATCATTACTAAAAACTGCTGCCTGAAGAAAAAGAAGGGTTCAGAGGTTAAGATCTGAAAATGTTGAACTCCAGTTTCAGTCCAGAGGCTGCAAAGTATTAAATCAACGGATGATAAACTCTTCCTTGAGATTATACTGAGCTTCACTAAACAACACAAAAAGTCAAGGACTGAGGACAGAGTGGGAGTGAGGTGGAGAATTAAAATGTCAATCTGAGGTTCGAGGTTATGGTTGCAGATGGCCCTCCGCAGTCGCCCATTTTGTAATCGATCTGTACCATGTACAAGGCAGCACTTAACTGTGTCAATTCTATTTACCGATTCTTCTCACACCACTTCCCTGCCAAAATCATGATGGGGTTCCCCTTTCCACCTCAGTGGCCTCCGCATTCATCAGGTTATTTCTATCAACTTCAGAACTGCACACAACTTGCCCTCTGCCTTCAGCATTCCAGAGAGACTCTAGGAATGTAAGATACAGGAGCAGCAGTAGGCCATTGGGCCTCTTGATCCTATTCTGCCTTTCAATAAGATTGTGATTGACCGAGTTGTAGTCCCACCTCCAATTTCCTGTCCCCATAACCCTTGACTCTCTGGTGTCTCAAAACATCTGTCTAACTCAGCCTTAAATAAAGTTAAATACACAGACCCCACTACATTTTGGGGAAGAAAACGCCACACACTACTGGCCCTTTGAGAGAAAGAAATCTCCTTTTCTATTTTAAAAGGGAGACTTCTCTTATTTTCTGAAGTCTGTCCTGTAGTTTTAGTTTGTCCTTGTAGAGGAAACATCCTGCCAGTACCCACCTTATCTAGTCCCCTCAAGACCTTGTGTGTTTTAACAAGATCATGTCTCATTCTTCTAACCTCTAATGGTGTAGGCCTAGTTTGTTTCACCTTTTTTATAAGATAAGCACATCTTCCCAGGAACATGGTGAGTGAAAGTCTCCTAACTGCTTCTGAAACAACTGTATTGTTCATCTAAAGAGATCAAAATTGTCCATAATACTTAGGAAATGATCCTGCACAGCTATATTAAAGTTTCCCCACTTTTATATTCCATTCCCCATGCAATAAATGACAACGTTCCCATTGCTTGTCTAATCACTTGTTGTACCTGTATACCAACTTTCTATAATTCATGAACCAGGATCTCCAGATCCTTTTGCATCACCAAGTCCTGCAATCTCTTTCCATCTAAACAGTAAACTACTTTTCTGTTCTTCCTGCCAAAATATACATGTACACATCTACCTAGATTACACTCCATTTGCCAAATATTTGCCCATTTACTTCCTCATTCTTCATCCCTTTTCAGACTCTCTACTGCTGCTGAACAACATATTTTGCTACTGGTCCTGGTCTCATCAGCAAATTCAGTTACCGTAGATTGAGTGGTCCGTTAAAATCATTGATATAGATTGTATATGGTTGAGACCTGAACAATGATCTTTGTGGCACTTCAGTTTTTAAAGCTTGCTCCCTGTAAGCCAAACAATCCTTTATCATGATAATATGTCAAGCACCTTGTACAGCAACTTTTGATATGGTACCTGATCAAATAACTTTTGTAACTCAAAGCCCATTACATGTCCCAGTTCCGGTC